CTGAAGGCAGGAGCAGATCAAACACTTCCAGGGAAGTAGAAATGTCTGTTTTTGCAAGTAAAGCTTTTCCCTGGAAGTCTGAGTCAGCACTTCCCCTTCCTGCCCTGTGAGATCTGAGCTGCTTTCCTCATCCTGGTCTGAGTCATCCCTGTGGCAACCACCAAGTGGTGGAGCAGAGTGGGTCACCCAGGGCAGCTCAGGAACCCCCCAAAATGAGGTGCCTTAACCCCACTGGATGTGTGGCAGCAGGGAGAGCTGGGCTGGAGAGGTTTCCCATGCTCTGCATGCCTAGAGGGTTAACACTGTACCTCTTCCCCAAAGGATCATGTTCTCCACCCCGTTTGCTGTCATCTCCTACTTCCTCATTTGGTTTGTACCTGACATCTCCAGTGGCCAAGTGATGTGGTACCTCGTCTTCTACTGCATCTTCCAGACCCTCGTGACGGTGAGTTGGGCTCTGCACACAGCAAGGCTGGAGGGGACCAATCCCTGCCCTCACCTTGCTGAGCTGCCCCCAGGGGCAGGTTCCCATCCTTGAGCTAACTCTGGTGCCCTTGCAGTGCTTCCACGTGCCCTACTCGGCACTGACCATGTTCATCAGCAGGGAGCAGAGCGAGCGGGACTCGGCCACCGCCTACCGTGAGTCCTTCCTTCCCTTCCCCTCCTGCCACAGCAGCAGCTGCTGCTGCTCAGCTCCTCTGCTGCTGCTCCCACTGGAGCATGATCCTCTCCAGATGTCTTCCTGGAAGGGCTCATTTGATCGCAGCCCATGTGTGTGATGAGCACTGTTCAGGGGCTGAGTTGCAGCTGGTTGAGCTCTTCCCATTCTTCTTCCCTGTAGTGCAGTGGGCTGATGGGGAGGTGGTCCCTCTTATGGCCAAGTGTCTGGAGCAGATGATGGGGAATCTGAGCTCTCGGGTCTTTCTTTCTGCTCTGCCATACAGCAGTGGGAGCTGTGGGAGTGGGAGTATGACCAAGTCTTGGCCTCTCACCCTGCCTCAGTTTCCCCAGCAGACACTCTCCTGCCCTGTGTAGCACAGGCTTGATCACCTGGTGATCTGGAGGGAGCTGTAGGAGAGCAGAGCAGCTCCGTCCCTGCTGGGGAAGGGCAGTAACTGGCAGCTGGGGAGGCTCTGCTGTGGTTTTGCACCCACACCCTGGGTGCCCCAGGGCTGTGCTCAGTCCCACTGGCCTCTCCGTCCAGGTATGACAGTGGAAGTGCTGGGCACCGTGCTGGGCACTGCCATCCAGGGCCAGATTGTGGGCAAGGTGGTTCCTCCCTGCATTGAGAGCCCCCTCTTCATCGGCAAGACCAACTCCTCGGTGGCCATGGAGGAGCTGAACATGACCCACGACACCGGCTCGCTCACTGACACGGTAGGAGGGGGAGACAGGACCTGCTGGCAGCCCCTGCCACGCTCTCCTGGCCTTTTTGGACCGGGTTGGCTCCTGGTTCCAGCCCTGCCCTTCACTGCTCCCCTCTCTCGCACAGAGAAATGCCTACATGATTGCGGCGGGGGTCATTGGGGGGCTCTACATCCTCTGTGCTGTGATCCTGTCGGTGGGCGTGCGGGAGAAGAGAGGTGAGGACTGGGATGTGCTGGGACAGCCTGGACTTCATATCATAGAATCGTATCATGGAATGGTTTGGGTTGGAAGGGACCTTAAAGATCATCCAGTCCCACCCCTGCATGGGCAGGGACACCTCCCACCAGCCCAGGTTGCTCCAAGCCCCATCCAACCTGCCCTTCAACACTGCCAGGGATGGGGCAGCCACAGCTTCCCTGGGCAGCCTGTTCCACTTGTGGATGTGCTGTGGCTACTGCCAGGGGTGCCCCGGGAGCCCTGCTGAGCTCTTGACCCGTTGGTGGGTCAGGCACTGGAGGAGAGGGGTGGGTAGAGCTGAGGTCTGGGTGTGGGGAGGGTGCTGCAGAAGGGCAGGAGGACAGAGCATCTCCAGGTTATGTTACAGCACAGCCCTGAGGACTCTTAAGCCCTGCAGGACTTGGTTCTCTGCTCTGCTCTGCCAGAGATAAACGTTATCTTGCAGTTTTAGCTGGCCAAGGTTGCTAGTGCCAACTGGGGCATCCCAGGGTGAGGTGATATCCAAAGCCCAGAAGCTTCTGTCCTTCCCACCTTCTGCTTTGCAACCAGCTCTGCTTATCCCAGGCGAATCAGCTGGGCCATCCTGTCCCCTCTGTGGGGCTGAGGGAGGGCAGGGAGGTCCCTGCAGGCATCACCCCGACTCCCTTGGAGCATGATGGTGGGCAGAGGCTTGTGCAGGGAGCTCAGCAGCAAGCGTGAGGCACTGCTGCCCCCCTTGCACCCAAGGGTGCTGTTCCAGCAGGTCTAATGATGGGCTGATTTGCTCTGCTCCCCAGAGGCCTCTGAGCTCCAGTCGGACGAGCCTGTCTCCTTCTTCCAGGGGCTGAAGCTGGTGATGAACCACAGTGCCTACATCAAGCTCATTGCTGGCTTCCTCTTCACTTCTCTGGCCTTCATGGTGAGCTCAGCCAGGCTTGGAGGGTGGGGGAGAGGGGAAGGCAGCAGCAGGGCTTGGGGGTGGCTGGGGTTGAGCAGTGTGGGGCCCAAACAGGATCCTGGAGGGCTGGGAGCATGTGAGGTGGCAGCTCAATGAGCTGGAGCTGCCCCAGGCAGAGAGGAAGGATGTGGCCTGGTGCTCTGGGATGGGTTGGTGAATGGCTGCTTTCATCCCCTTGTGCTTTGGGCATGACCTTGTGAGGAGGAGCATGTGCCTGTCCCCCCATAACCACCATCTGCCTCCCCCACAGCTGCTGGAGGGCAACTTTGCCCTTTTCTGCACCTACACCCTGGGCTTCCGCAATGAGTTCCAGAACATCCTCCTGGCCATCATGGTATGTACAGCCCCTTCCTGGAGGCCCTCAGGGATGGGGCTGTGGTGGGACACACGCTGTGGGATCCCCCCAGGTCCTCCCCAGGAGCTGGTGTGGGCTCAGGGGAGGGAGGCTGTGGGACTTCAATGGTTCACTCTGGGGACAGTGACCGAAGGTCCCCCAGGAGAAGGGAAGGGAGAAGGAACTGCCAAATGTCCTGCCCAGGCTGGGCGAGTTGGCAGAACAGGGAGGCTTTTGTTCCTGTGTGAAGGAACAGCCAGAGATGAAGGATACCAGGAGCAGTGGGGGCCTTTTGTCCAAGTCCTGCCACTTATCTCCTCCCTCCCTTGCTGCCTTGAGAAAAGGATCTCTGGGTTTCCTGCCAGGAAGATGGAGCAAAACAGCTCCTTGAGAGCCCTTTCCAGTTTGCCTCACCCCTGGGAGCCCTTCCCACCCTCCCTGCTCGATGGGGTAGGGAGGTCCAAGGTGCCAAGGTCCCCAGGGAGCCTGGCTCGAGGCCACGCTGTGTGCAGGCAGGAGTGACAAGATCAAGTCCTGCCCTCCTGCCCTGCCTGGTGTGTTGGCAGAAGAGGGGTGCCCCCAGGAGGAGGGTGCTGGGTTCTAGAGGAGGAGGTGACTCCCAAGTGCCTGCTCCAGTTGTGAGCTCTCCTTCCTGGCAGGCAGGGATGGGGTGAGGGCAGGAGGAGGCAACGTGGCTGTGGGCCAGCCCTGACAGCCTGTGGAAATGTGCTGGGGGAGCTTCTCCCCCAGGGAAGAGCTTCTCCCCCAAGTGAAGGGGGGGGGGGAGTGACACCAGGACCCTCTGCTCTTGCTGCAGCTCTCGGCCACCTTGACCATCCCCCTCTGGCAGTGGTTCCTCACACGCTTCGGGAAGAAGACGGCTGTCTACGTGGGCATCTCGGTGAGCAGGTCCCTCCAGCTGCAGGGAGGGAGGTGTTTCCCACCTGGGGTGACCAGGGCTGTGTCCCTGAGAGGGTCTGGAGCTGGGCAGGAGCTGCTGCTAATGATGATTTGGTGCTTGTCCCTCATCCTGCTGGTCGTGCTGCCATGGATGTGACCACCACGGGGCTCTGGGAGGAGGGAAGGGAGGGAAGGGGAGAGGCCTGGGCCTGGCACTGCTGACACCCCCTGCTCTGTCCCCTCTCCAGTCTGCCATCCCCTTCCTCATCATGGTGGCTGTCCTGGACAGTAACCTCATCGTCACCTACATCGTGGCCGTCGCAGCTGGGATCAGTGTGGCTGCTGCCTTCCTCCTGCCCTGGTGAGTGCCAGCTCCTTGTGCCCTCCCTGCTGCACCCCCAGAGCTGGGCAAGGTGCTGCCAGGCCTCATTGGGGTGGTCAGAAACTCCAGGGAGGCCTTTTTATCATGTTTACAGCCCAAGTTGGGGCTCGTGGAGGGAAACCCACTCAGCAGGGAGAGGAGGTGCTTTGGCCCTGTCCTGGTGCTCACAGCTCTGCTCTCCACACAGGTCCATGCTCCCAGATGTCATAGATGACTTCAAGCTGCAGCACCCTGACTCCCATGGCCACGAAGCCATCTTCTTCTCCTTCTATGTTTTCTTCACCAAGTTCACCTCTGGGGTCTCACTGGGCATCTCCACACTCAGCTTAGAGTGAGTTTTTGTTCTGTGGGAACTGAGGGGGAGGGAGAGAGGCCAGACTGGTGCCTCCACATCCAGGCATCTCTGCTTCCCAAGGTTCTGGAAGTGAAGGGGGGGGGGGATGTGTCTAAATCCAGTTCTGGTTCCACAAACCTCTGTGCAGGGACAGGTTTGTCTCCTCCATCCTCTGTTTTCCTTGGCCTGAAGGTCCCTTTCTGCCCACAGCTTTGCAGGGTACCAGACCCGGGGCTGCTCCCAGCCCAACGAGGTGAACATCACTCTGAAGATGCTGGTGTCAGCTGTGCCCGTGGGCCTGATCCTGCTGGGCCTGCTCCTCTTCAAGCTCTACCCCATCGACGAGGAGAAGCGGAGGAAAAACAAGAAAGCCCTGCAGGACTTAAGGTGAGTGTCAGCACGTGCTGTGGAGGTGTGTGGGGGCAGGATCAGGCCCAGACGGGTTGGGACATACTGTGACTTGTCCAGAAATCCTCCAGAACCCGTGGGTGGTGGGGTGAGGGAAGGGCTGGCTTGTTTTTCCCAATCCTGGCATGGAAAGAGGTGGCGTGAAGGGTTTGGGATCAGCAGGGAACCCGCCCCAGTTGCTAAACAAAGCTTGTTTGGGACTGTGCAAGGTGGTGTCATCCCTCTTGAGCTCTTTGGAGGCTCTTGGGTTCCAAGAAAAGGGACTGCTTGGAGGCAGGGCTCACTCCATGGCTCACTCCACACCTTCTCCCCAACCCTTTTCCCCCAGGGGAGAGAGCAACAGCAACAGCAGCAGCTCAGATTCAGACAACACAGAACTGGCCAGCATCGTGTGACCCTGGGCTGGGTCCCTCTGCTCACACCTGGGGTTCCCCAAGGACTCAAGACTTTTGGGACAACACCTCCAAGGCTGGAGCAGCCTGTGGTAGCACTGTAGGTGTGCACCATAGAGGAGCACCTGGAGGAGCCATGCTGAGCATCCCACCACCTCCAGCACCAGATCTGTGCCGGTCTTGTGCCTCCCACGGGATCCACAGAGCACCCGTAGTGTACATTACACAGACTGACCCGTGGCACTTGTGTGTGCCTCACCAGAAGCAAGCACTGTTCCCTGCTGGATCCTGGAAGAGCAGAACAGCCTGGAGAAGGATCTATTTTTGCTCCTCCCACTCTGGTGCCCACTGCCCACCCCCGTGGGGCTGGGGGTAATGGTTAGTGTACATTACACTGTCAATGAGACGTGAGCTCACCTCTGCTGCCTGTACATACTACACTAATTTGGAAAGCTGTTCCTGTTTTGTTTTTTTACAGAGCCTAATTAACTTAATGATGTAAATATGAAGCTATTTCCTATGTGTATATATCTGTACAGAAACCAAACTCGAGGATCTCTTAGTATGAATTTCCACACAAGCGGGGAAGGCAGCGGTGGGTGCGGAGGATTTGGGGGTGGTTTTTGTTGTTGTTTGGCTGCTTTTCTGGTTGGATGTCAGCAAGCCTGGGGTCCCTTCACGCACCACAGGGTGCAGGATTGACTTCCTTAGAGCTGAAGGCCCAGGAATGTCATAATCCAGGCAGGAAGCTGTGCCCAGCAGCCCTGTACCCCAGGATGGCTCCTTGCTCAGCCCGCGCTGCAGCCGCCCAACAAAGGCTCTATTATTTTCTTCCTTTCAAGAGAGAACGGGGGTGGAGGGAGGAATGAAATCAAAGTGCTGGCTGAGGAGATGGTGAATGTAGGGCTGGGAACAGGAGAGGCAGCTGGGGAGTGGAGGGAATGGGAATGCAGAGCAGGGGAGTGGAAGGGAATGTGGGCTGGGGGCGACACTCGAGGTTTTTCTCCCAGGGCAAGGTGATGTGCAAGGGCTGGGCTGGGGGGATTTATTCCTTCCTCGTGCATTTCCCCTCCCTGGAGCAGGAACAGGGAGAGCTCTGGCCACCCTACCCAGAAGGAGCATCTCCTGCAGCAGCAAGTGCAGTGCAGAGGGGGAAGGAAGGCTGGTGGAAGCACAGGGAGGCTGCACCAGAGATGAAGCAGGCAGCACATGGAGCTGGGGCAAATGCCCAGCATGAGAGGACAATGTCACCTCTGCTGCTCTGTCCCCACGGCCACTGTGCTGGGGGACAGGGCTGTTGCCTTTTGTTAAATGCATTTGTCACACTGAGAAATGTGTGGGGTCAGTGCCTGAGTCAAGAGCAGCTTTTCTGCACAGGGAAGGATAGTTCATCCTTTGTTCCATGTTTGGGTACAAAGGGCTGCAGTGAGGATGGGGTTTTAAAAATAGCCAGAGGGATTAGACCTTAGCTGGGAATGCTCAACTGGGCCCCACTCTGCTGCCATGGTGAGGGTGATGGAAAGAAGCAAAAGAGTTGATGCAAGGAGGCTGGGAGCTGTTTTTTGTGCTGAGCAGAGGGCAAGAGGCAGGGTCAGCCTTGGCCTGGCTGCCCTCTGCTCCCCCAGGGCTGGAGCTTTGCTGGGGAGGAACAAGGGCAGGCCAAAGCCCTGTGAAGCCCCTGTGGCAGGGCAGGTAGGAGCCCTGTGCACCCTCTGTGAGAGGAGGAGAAGGGGCAGAGAGCTCCAACCAAGCACAGAGCTCAAGATTTTGCAAGTGTGACCCCTGCCCTGCTCCTGTCTGGGTTTGCAGGGAGTCAGTCCTGCCCCTGCTGTGACCTGGCTGCCCCTGGGGGGTGAGCAGTGCTGCTGCCTCCCAGGATTTGAAAGATTGCTACTAGCTTTTATTTTGCAAAGAGCTTCAATAGCAATCAGGGACATTATATTCTTTGCCTCCTCTTGTTTTTTTGGCTCTGTGGGGTTCATGAGAAGTTTCTGTTCAGGTTTTTTTGCAGCTAGCTCAAGACTATAAAAGCTTGAACCAGGGCCCAGACATTCCAAGCTGAGCACACCTCTTCTGTTTGGGGCTTTTAAGAAAATAGAGGGAGGAAGAAAAGTGACCATTGGAGTTGATAGTTCTGAACCCTGGGCAAAACTCCAGCCTTGAGGCAGAGACCAAGTCTTGCTTCAGTCATGATTACAGTGGGATTGCAGCCCAAGCATGAAGAGAGCTGCTCTGGCAGGGGGAGATGCTGCCCACCCCCCAGGGCAGCCTCCAGCAGCAGCCATGAAATCCCCACTAACCATGAGGATGAAGCAGATGCACCCAAGTGTCCCACGAGCAGCTCCCTGCAGAGCTGGGGTTACCTGGTTGTTGCTGCTGCTGTGTCCCCTGGGTGAGTTACAGGTCTGGGCTGGCCCTGTGAAACCAAAGCCAGAGCCTGTTGAGTGCAGGGTGCCAGCTGTGCTCAGCACCTCTGATGGCACATGGGCTGGGGCTGTGCTGCCCAGAAAGCCCCTGGCTGTGAGCAATCAGCCCCCATTCCCAGCTGATGGGCTTCAAGGAGCTCCTGGGCCAGCCGGGGAAGGGATTACCCACCTGGTGCCAGGGACTTGGGGAGCTTTCCCTTGAACTGGGGGGGCCCTGCTGCCTGTGTTTCTGTTCTGCTCATGGAACCAGGTTGTCTGGGTCCTTTTGTTCACAAGGGAAGGATCCTGGCAGGGGTGCAGGTCCCTGTCCCAGCACTCAGGGCTGACTCAGGGGGGAGGACAGGCTGCCACAGGCACCCCTCTCTCCACTGATGTCTCTCAGTGCACCCCATGCCCTTCCCAGGGCTCCTGGTCCAGCTGAAAGGCTCCCCTTGAGCCCTGGGGAAACCTGCTGGGTGCCAGCACCCAGCTCTGCCTCTCCTGCAGCAAAGAGCTCCCCCAGGGACACTTGAGGAGGTCACTGCCCTGCCCAGGCTGGGAGGTGAGCCAGTGAGATGTCATCAGAGCTGGATGTGCCAAGGGGAAGGGGCACAGAGAGACATTCACCCCAACCACAGGGCACTTTGTCCTGGCAGGGGACAGCAGAGGGGACAAAACCAAACAAATATCAGTTGTGGCCTCCAAAGGGCAGTGCAGGAACATGCAAAACCAGACTTATATCCCGTTTGTCACCAAGGGTGGCTTTGCCACAGAGGCAGGTCCTCTGCTGACTGAGGCAGCAGGGACAGATTGGAGGGACAGTCCCTGGGGTGAGAGCAGCCACCTTGTGCCTCTTGACCCTGTGGGGGATAAGAGGAAGAGTGAAAAGCCTTTCCTTGAAGAGAACAAGGAAAACATCCCTCCTTATCCCCAGGGAAAGGGCAAAGAGCCTTGGCTTTATCTTGCAGCAGGACAGATTAATGAAACTTTATGACAGGGGCTGGTGGGGACAGTTTTTGTTTGGGCTGGAAGGACCTGAGTGCCCTACACTGCAGGATGAACCCAGGGTTAACTTCAGGGCCACCCTGAGCTGAGCCAAGCACAGAATCCCATGGGGAGGGATGTCTGACAGGAGGGGCTGAATCAGGGAAGGGATCCAGCTGGGAATTAGTTCAGCCTGGGAAGTTATGGGGAGAAATGGGACTGCAGGAGCTGGGCTGTGCTCGGGATGGAGGCACCGACCAGCAGGTCCTGGGGGGCAGCTCCACCTCCCCAGCACTCTGACCCCCTCTGTCACCCGCTGGGGAGGGCAGAGTTAAGCCAGGGGTGCTGGGTCCCGCTGTCCCCAAGGGTCACCTTGTCGGGGCCAGCAGGCTGAGGTCACTCGCTGCGTCTGCAAACAGACTCTGAAGGCTACCGACCTCTTTCGGTGGGCTCTGGTTAATGTTTTGCAGAGGCGCGGCCGGACCTGCTGGTTTCCTGAGCCCAAGAAACTCCCTCTTCCTAGAAACGAACCTTTCAAGTGCTTTGCTGGGAAACGAAACGCGGCTCAGGGCACAGGGGTAGCCTTAACCAGAGGTGGCTCAGGGTGACCTGAGCCCCTGCCAGGGCTGTGTTTGCTCCCGTGGAGGAGCCAGAACCTGCTGAGCACCTCAGGGACCTGGGCTGGAGCTTGGACAAGCTCCCTCCTCACACGCAGCAGAGCAGGGGCAAGTCTCTCTCAACAAGCCACAGGGGCTGCCTGGATCCAGCTGAATTAGTTCAGCCTGGGAAGTTATGGGGAGAAATGGGACTGCAGGAGCTGGGCTGTGCTCGGGATGGAGGCCCCGTCGAGCAGGTCCTGGGGGGCAGCTCCACCTCCCCAGCACTCTGACCCCCTCTGTCACCCGCTGGGGAGGGCAGAGTTAAGCCAGGGGTGCTGGGTCCCGCTGTCCCCAAGGGTCACCTTGTCGGGGCCAGCAGGCTGAGGTCACTCGCTGCGTCTGCAAACAGACTCTGAAGGCTACCGACCTCTTTCGGTGGGCTCTGGTTAATGTTTTGCAGAGGCGCGGCCGGACCTGCTGGTTTCCTGAGCCCAAGAAACTCCCTCTTCCTAGAAACGAACCTTTCAAGTGCTTTGCTGGGAAACGAAACGCGGCTCAGGGCACAGGGGTAGCCTTAACCAGAGGTGGCTCAGGGTGACCTGAGCCCCTGCCAGGGCTGTGTTTGCTCCCGTGGAGGAGCCAGAACCTGCTGAGCACCTCAGGGACCTGGGCTGGAGCTTGGACAAGCTCCCTCCTCACACGCAGCAGAGCAGGGACAAGGCTCTCTCAACAAGCCACAGGGGCTGCCTGGGGGACACGCAGGCATTTTAGGCATTTCATGTCTAAAAAAAAAGGAGCCAATATTCCTGTGGTGCTTGGAGGAAAGGGGGACGAGGCATCACCCCCTGCCAGCAGCGTGGGGAAGCTCTAAGCTCTCTGGGGACAGAGCAGTGACAGGCACAGGCTGGTGTGGTTTCCGGGCACCAGGATCCCCCCAAAGGGCACAGACCTGGTTTACAACCTTCCTGTAACCAGGCAGCTCTTCCGTGACCCAGCCCCACCAGGAACTTGGCTC